GACCAGATGCTTAAAGAAGAAGGACGTCGCTGGAGGCTCGCAGGCCAGCGTCCCCCTGCTCGTCCTCGGAGTCCCTGTCACTCCCTCCCCACGCCCGGCCAGGGCCCGCCATCGAAGCCGGCCGGCAGGTGCGCTGACAGCGACGGAGCCGGTCCCCAGCCGCCTCGCCTCCCGCCGGCGTGAGTGACAGCAGCTGGCGTGGCCAGATGACTCGGCCACACGTCGTCTCGGGAGATAAAGACGTCAGCCTCGTCGCCCCACGGCCCGTGCTCGAGGCGGGCGGCTCGCCGTCTTGTCATCGCGGTTTCCTAGGACGGGAGGCCGGCTCGGGCCCAATGCCAAGCCACCGAGGATGGTGCCCGTCGCTGCACGGGTGGCATCAAAGCCACAGCAGGACATCAGCAGGCGACCGGGGCCGGGAAATAGTACCCGAAGCCACATTTAGCGGCAGCTCCTGGCCAGAAACCCAAGTCCCTGGTCAGAGGAATGACCCTGGGAGGCCTTTGCCCCTCTCCCCACAATTGCCAAAAGGTGGAAACAACCCAAATGCCCATCCACTGATGAATGAATGAATGAATGAATGGAATGGGGTACATCCATACAATGGAATATTATTTGGCAAATAAAAAGTAATGGAGCACGTACATACACTACAACACGGGTGAACTTTGAAGACGGTAGGCTAAATGAAAGAAGCCAGATATAGAAGGCCACATACTGAATGATTCCATTTACAGAAAATGCTCAGAACAAGGAAATCTAGAGAGACAGGAGGTAGCATAGTGGTTGCCTGGGGCTGTGGGGAGGAGGGTCATTGAGAGGGGCTGGTAACGGGTCCAGGGTTTCCTTTGGGGTAATAGAAACGCTCTGGAATTGGACGATATTGACTTGTGTGTGTACTAAGCAAGTCATTTAAGTGCATCCTTTAAAGCGATTATGTTGCCCAGGCTGGTATGGCTCAGTGGATAGAGTGGTCGGCCTGTGGACTGAAGGGTCCCAGGTTTGATTTTGATCAAGGGCACATACATGGATTGCAGGCTCAATCCCCAGTGGGGGGCGTGCAGGAGGCAGCCAATCCATGATTCTCTCTCATCACTGATGTTTCTCTCTCTCTCTCTCTCTTCCTTTCTGAAGTCAATAAAAATATATTTTAAAAAATAATAAAGTGATTGTGTTTATATTAAGTGAATTATATCTCAACCTACACATAACCCTAGTTGGCCTGGTTTTTGTCTTCTTCTTTGAATCCGTACCTTACTTAGCATCCACGTAACGGCCTTGTTTTAAAGTTAAAAAGCAGTTAGTTCTGAATGAGTTCCCCGCCTCTCCACGGTACCCATCACCTCACCACCTGCTCACCTGTCCATCGCCACGGATATTCAAAGTCAAGTCAAAACCAAAGGTCAAGAAAGAGGCTGCCTCGGGGAAAGGTGTGGACCTCCTGGTTTCTATGTTAAACATAATTCTTGCCTGGGCAAGCCTTGTATCAGGTAGACGTGGTAGTCTGAGATGAGGGTTTTCACAGCATCTGCCCTTAACGCCTTTCCTGAGCGGGTCAGAGGGACTGGGCTCCCCGATTCCCTTCCCTGCCTTCCAGGCCGCTTTCTAGGAACTTGCTACATCCCCCCCACCCTTCCCATACATCCTTACATGGCTGCTTCGCCCATCCTCTCCCGGGGTCTAGCATACGGTAGGTATACAACAGCTACAAAAACGTTTGCTAAATAGACAAATGCCTCTACTCGGTGGACACTGTGTGCTTTCTCCTTTAACTCTCAGAGACAGCGCCAGGCCGACAGTCAAAATATTAATAAAATGGCGTGCGGGAGACTCGCGCGTCTGGATCGCAGATCTTGGGGTGCGTTTTCTCTGGCCCGTGACTTACCTTCCTTCGCTGCCCTGAGCGAGCGGGCAGACGGGAGGTACCCCACTCTCACCCCGACCCGGTTCGAGGCAAAGGAAGCCCACTGCCTTCCCGGTGCCGACCGCGAGGGAACAATAATCCCACGATAAGCACGCCCTCGAAATCGTAGGGCCGTCGAGGCAGGACGCGAGGGATTTGCGTAAGATAAAGGCGCTGGCGTGTGGCTGGGTTTAATTGGAGAAAAAAACAGCTCGGGCGGGTACCTCTTCCAATGGGCCCGTTTCAGACGGTAATGTCTCCCACTGTCACCGTTAGATCTTAATCCATCGCCGCTCCCCCACGGCTCACTGGGTCTCTGTGCACTGCTCTATTTCCCGATGCTTCCCCGCGGAAGGGCGCGAGGGGGAGGGGGGAGGACGGTGGGGAGAGCCAGATGGGCCTCTTCACAGTTCATTTATCAAACCTAATACGCCGGCTCCACCCTCCTCTCGCCGGCGATTGCGGTTAAACTTCCATATAATTCGGTAATCATTTTCATTATCGGGGAGTGACCCCGCAGAAGCCCATCCCGGGACGCCCGGGCCCTGCAGCTGCTCCCTTCCCGCCTCTCCCCGCCGCGGGGCCCGGCAGAATCTCGCCCTTTATTAGCTGCAGGCTGACCCCGGGGCTGTGGGGGTCAGGATGGGGTCGGGGCGGAGGGCTTGCCCGGTTCTTTAAAAGCTATAACAAGCTGTCCGTCAGGCGGCGGGGAGCGTGTAAACAAAGCCAGGCCTGCGGAAACGCTGTCCCGCTTCTGTTAACACCCGCCCCGCATTCACACGGCCGCTCCCCGGCGCCCGGGCCATTCAGCTCCGGGAAGCGGACAGACGGCCCTAATCTGCCTCTTTGGGGGGGCTGTTTGTGGGATCACAGAGCAGCCTCTTCGGGGGGGGGGGCCTGTTTGTGGGATCACAGAGCAGCCTCTTTGGGGGGGGGCTGTTTGTGGGATCACAGAGCAGCCTCTTGGGGGGGGGGGACTGTTTGTGGGATCACAGAGCAGCCTCTTCAGGGGGGGGGGGGGCTGTTTGTGGGATCACAGAGCTCGGACGGGCCTCTGCCGCCGCGGAGTGGGTGACACTGTGACAAACTCAGTCACCCGCCTCCTGCAGAACGGACACTTTCCTCCCAAAGCCATGGGACGGGGAACACGTGCTTTTGGTTGAGGGGGTTCAGAGGGTCCTTCCTAACCATGGCGGGCTCCAGGCCCGGGCAGGCACACTTTCCTTCTTTCCAAAGTGCACACGCCACGGGCCGCCCCGGACCAGGCGGCGCGCTCAGCACGGCGGCGGGTGTTTATAACTTTCACCGCCACGCGCCCACCCTGATGCCGTGCGGACCCCAGACGGGCGGTGCGGCCCGGGTGCGGGAAGGAGAGGCGGCGGGAACGGCCTGTTTGTAGGGATCGTGTGGGCGAGCCGGGGAGCCAGGCCGCCGGGATGGGAACATCACACGGGGGTGAGGACGGACGGGGTGGGGGAGGAGTCAGGGACAGTCTCCTGAGCTCCGGAGACACCCTCTCCTGAGGTTCCCTTTCCGGTGTTTGGCCTTAGGGCGGCCTGCAGAGCATTGGGGGCTGAACGGGCCTGCCTCCTCCTCCTCCTCCTCCTCCCCGAGCACAGAGGACATGAGAGATGCGGTGTCAGATGTTGGAATAACTACATGGACGTCAACCCGGGCTCCAGCTCCTGATTAAACCGTGAGCAGGAAGGGCCCGAGGTGCTCAGAGCAGACTCTTACACGGGTCATTCCGGCCACACCTCCTGGTGACCTGGCACGTAGGGAAATCATGGTTACAAGAAGTCCTTCCCTCTGCTCCCAATGCTGGGTCTCAAGGCTGTGCTGTCTGCTCAAAGATCTGGAGATGGGGGTCCAGAGGGATTGCAGGGGAATTTTTCCTTCTTTCCCCCTTTCCCAAAGACCCAACTCAGACAGAGAAGCCTCTTAGCGGTCCCCACGCCCAGATGCCATCACTTAACGGAACGGGCCTACTTGACTGACTATACGTACTTACGTCACAACACGGAGGAAATTTAAAAATTAGTCACTGAAACGTCACTTGGAAACCACTGAGTGACTGCAGGTGAGACTGTCCCTCTCCGACCACAGGACGGGAAGGGATGGAGGGGCAGGAGGGCGTGGAGAATTTTAAAGTTATCGCTTCAACACCAGCCCGGATTGAGAGATGACAGACGCTCTGCGAGGGCAGCATCCTGAGACCCAATCGGAACGGGTGGCTCCCACCCCGCCGTCTCCTTGCTCGGTAAAGGGCTCGTCCCAGCCGAGTTGGGACAAATCTATTTTTACAACCATTGCTGCGAGGAGAGCCATCCATTACCGCGTGAACTGTCGCCAGGAACTGTTTGGAGAGGGTGACGGCTATCCAAAAACAGGGTCCTGGCGCCCAGGCACACGGAGCTGCTAAGCATCAGGGAGGACTCGGACAGCGCCATCATTCCGACTCCTCTCCCTCCTGCTCAGGAACAGACGACAAGGCAACCGCTTTGTAGCAACGACAGACCTGCGGGCTCACCCTAACCTGCCCGCCCAGCCTGCCGTCCATCCAGCAACCGTCTGTCAGATCAGAGCAGGGGACCCCGAGAGAGAGCACGCAAGCATCGATTCTGCAAAAACAAATGATGTGCACGAACCTTCTACCTGCAGGCCAGGCCCCCGCAGAGCAGCCAGGTGGGAGCTGGCGGGATTCCGACGTGGCCAATTCTAAGACCAAGTTCAAGCCACCCAGCACCGGCCCGACCTGAGTCACCAGGCTGGTCCTTAGACCGCTGATGAACAGGGCGCTTGGGCCTCAGGGACTTACTTAAGTTGCATCTGCTCAAGGTGCGAACATTCCTGGAAATGTCACACCCGGGGTTACGTCGCTTACGCATCTAGACGACACCACGGACTATGGCAGTGAGCGTGGGTCCTACGTGCAGGAGAGCTGGCTGTGGCTGGAAGCGTTCACCCAACCCGCTTCTGTGTCAAGACTCCCTCCCATGAGAGCGATGAGACAAGACCGGCCAGACACAGCCCTCGCGTTCGGGAAAATGGCGGAAAACTGGTTTCCTGCGTTTGGGAAACAGTTGCCGGGACTCACCTGGCGTGCCACTCCCTCCGCAGGGTCTGGCGCGCGGTGAGCGAGGCGAGGATGGCGGTCACCATGGCGTTCCGCTGTCCCACGGGGACCCCCTCTCTTCGCACTTCCTGGAGCACCCCGTTTGTCTAGAAGAAAGGATCAAAAAAAAAAAAAAAAGGAAAAGAAAGAGTGAAAAATTAATAATAAAAAAAAAAAAGCCCATAAGCAAATCAGGACAGTAAATCAATGGCTGTTTCATTACAGTTCCCCTGCTAACAAATCAATACGGTAAATGATGGTCGGGAGCGGCCGGCGTGGAGTTTGTGTTTAATCAATGTACACGGCGCAGAGGTAAACCGGGGGCCCCGCCACCCCGAGTCATACCCGCGTCCTGCGGGCTCCCCCTAATTTTCTCGGCACCCAGTTGACTTTCTTCCCTGGGACTCGCCTACCAGGAGCTATTATTAGACTCGATTTCCACGCAGGCTGCGCCCTGCGCTGTTTGTTTTGCCTTCAAATGGAGAGAGGGTCTCTGGCTTTCTCTCTGTGTGTTTCCTGCCCGCCCGCTGAGGCCTGCTGTACAGCCTCTCTTCCTGGGATCCTTCGATTCTACTTCCGGCCAAGCCCGCAATCCTGTTGCTGTCTTGTCCATTTGCTTAGTTCCTACCTTCCCCGGTCCTTTGAGTATTCCTGGCTTCCTGAAGTTCCCGAGTCCAGATCCTTTTCTTTATGTATATATTAATGATTTCGGAGAGATAGACAGAGACATCCATGATGAGAGGGAATCATTGATCGACTGCCTCCTGAACGCCTGACCTCCTGGTTCATAGGTTGATGCTCAACACCTGAGCAATGCCAATTGGGTTTCTTCTCTTTTGATAATTCGAGTTATCCAATATCCTTTCATCGAAGTCCTTACTTTGTTCAAATTTACCAGATTCTATTTCTGTTGCCTACAATCTAAAACCCTACAGATGCAGCCCAACCGGTGTAGCTCAGTGATTGAGCATTGACCCAGGAACCAGGAGGGCACAGTTCGATTCCCAGTCAGGGCACATGCCCGGGTTGCAGGTCCATCCTCAGTAGGGGGTGTGCAGGAGGCGGCCAATCAATGATTCTCTCTCATCGTTGATGTTTCTATCTCTCTCTCCCTCTCCCCTTCCTCTCTCTTTTGTTTTTAAAAAACAAAAAAAACCCCTCCAAGGAATGGGGAAACGCAATTTGCCAACCTCAATCCAAGAGCATTTCAACTTTTTTAAGTGTATGCTTTGTTGGTGGATCTGCAAAAATAATTCCATTTTGGTCAATGGTTTGGCAGTTCCTTATCGAAGTCACACTGGCACTTCATACAGGATGCAGAAATCGCATTTCTAGGGGTTTATCTAAAGAAATTAAAGCCTTATGCTCACACAAGAACATGCATACCGACGTTTACTGCACCTTTATTCATAACCGCCAAACACCGGAAACAAGCTAATGTCCTTCACAGGGTCGAGGGATCAATACGCCGTGGTCATTCACGAGAGAATCCCTACTGCCCCGCACTGCGAAGGAACAAGCAAGTGACAGGCGCAGCCCCTCGGATGACCATGAAGGCAGTGTACTGAGCGAGAAGGGCCAGCCTGACACAGTTAGGCTCTGCGGGGTCCCATTCATTTGACGTCTGGAAAAGGCAAATTATAGGGCGGGAGAGAAAACCAGCGGTAGCCGGGGATTATTAGGCTGGATGAGTGTTATCATGGGGGGATTACTGGAAACAGGGGCCTCTGGTGTGCCCTGATTGCAGTGGTGGTTACATGATCTGATACACATGTTAAAGCTCATGGTCTGTATATCCCCAAACAGTCTACTCGACTGTACGAAAATACTGTAAGGTTTACTTTTTCAATGCATTTTCATCAAGTGTTTAGGACAAGAATGGTGTAGAGAACATGCTGACACAACTACATCGGATGAATAAGTAGTTAGCAAAAACACAAGGAAATATAGGACACCCCCCAAAAAAAATGTATCCACACACTTTGAATAATTATAAAGGCGGTGTTTATTCAAATAAATTTCATGTTCAAAACTGAGCTATCGGCTGGTGAAGTATATATTCATTTGGGGAGAGGGGAGGGCTGTATATCTGGATGACAAAACAGTATCTGTTACAACTTTTTTTTTTTTTTTTAATGTTGGAAAAGGAAGGGGTTGAACTTACATGGAGCGTTCAGACCCTCCAGGATAGCTTTTCGTGAAATTCAGAGTGAAAAGCAGTCCTTGCCCGGATGGGAACTCCCGTGTCCAAGGGCTTCCTTCTCCCGGGATCCGATGTGCCATCCTCCTCCCCCTGGCAGCGCTGGCTCCCCGGGGGCTCGGTTTGCACAGGAAATGTGAACCGGCCCATTTTCCCATCAGGAGAAGCACGGTTACCAAACACATTCTTCCTCCTCTCCCCTCAGAACACGGGGCGAGGGGGCCACAGGCTCGGCACTCGGGTTTGGGGGTGGAATTTCACCCACTGCCATTCTTTCTCAGCAGAAACCTACGGAAGCGCTGGCAAATTAGGAGGAGACGGAGACTATCCCACAGACGGCTGGCCCCTCGAACCCCAGCCGTCGCCTCCTGGCTGCGCGCCTCGTCCACACAGCGACATGGAGAGGACAGCCCCCGCGCTCCTGTGGGGCCCATGCCCAGGACAGATGCCCCTGGGATGACTAGCTCTGTTCCGTCTTAAACTCACTTGTCGACCTACTGCTAGGTTGTGCTATTTTTCTTTTATGTCCTCACCTGAGGATATTCTCCCATTGATTTTTAAGGGGAATTGGAGAGGGGAAGACAGAAATATCGATGTGAGAGAAACACATCGATGGGTTGCCTCCTGCATGAGCCCCAACCAGGGCCGGGGCCAGGGAGGAGCCTGCGACTAGAGGTACATACATGCCCTGGACTGGAATCGAACCCAGGACCCTTCAGTCCGCAGGCCGACGCTATCCACTGAGCCAACCCGCCTGGGGTGGTTTGCTATTTCAACAAAAGGATTCCTGAGAATGTAGATGAATTGAAATAAATAAAAAAAACACGTCAAAAGGAAATCCATCTTTTCGCCTCGCCTGGAGAGCTGAGTGAAATCAGCCGGTCAGAGAAAGATAAAGCATCGCATGATCTCACTCACAGGTGGAATCTAATGAGCCAAATAAACTGGTGAACAAAACAGACCCAGAGACGCAGAGGCATGGAGCAGACTGTGGAGTCTCAGAGGGAAGGCGGGGGAGGCTGGGTGGGTGGGGAGAGATCAGCCAAAGAACTTGTCTGCACAGATGCATCCCCCTTGGACACAGACAATAGGGGGGGAGGGCCAAGGGAGGGGGAGGGGGCAGGCTAGAAGGGGTCACTGGGGGGAAGGGGAGACACATGTAATGTTTTCAACAATAAAGATTTACTTAAAAAAAAAAAAAAAAAAAAGGAAATCAGGCACCGCTGAACACACACAGCTGTGAGGCGCCAGCGGCAGGCCCTCTGCAGACCCTGGTGCTGGTGAACCCGTGTCCTCGGAGGGTGGGTTCATTCCAGAGTCGTTTCTCCGTTGAGTAAGCCCCCTTCAATGGCTTTAGAGCCGTGGTCGGCAAACCGAGGCTCCCGAGCCACCGCGGCTCTTTGGCCCCCTGAGTGTGGCTCTTCCACAAAAAAACCACGTGTGGGCGCGCACGTACGGTGCGATTGAAACTTCGTGGCCCGTGCGCAGAAGCCGGTTTTCAGCCCTCCCGAGAAATTTCCATCGTTGTACTGTTGCTATTTGGCTCTGCTGACGAATGAGTTTGCCGACCACTGACCCAGAGGAATTACAGCATTGACTCCTTACCAATCCCTCTCTGTGTCTCTCCCTCTTTGGGTTCCTTTCTGGTTGGGGGGAAGGGAAGTGTCACAATTTCAAATCGATCTTTAACTCCAAAACTCAGACCCCTCCAGCCTTGTTACCCATCAGAGGCCTCTGTCTAAGGAGACGGGGCGAACAGGAGGCACCCCACAACCACGGCCGGTCCCCCCTCGGCTTCCTGCATCAACGCAAAGGAACGAACCAAAAAGGAAACTCTGCCTCTGGTTTCCCAATTTCAAGAGGCACACAGACACCAGGAAGCCGGGCTGCGTCCCCTGCCCACCACCCCCCGTCTCCCCACCCCCCAGAAAAGCCACCCCGTCCTTATGGGCCCAGTGCCGACCCTCGCCCTCTTCACATACGATCTGCCTGGCGTGAGGGTGCGTTTCCCTCCGCGCACACAAATGACAGAGGAATGCTTGGCTGATAACAAGGGCCAAAGGTCCAGCTTGTGAAGAAACGAGGCTTAAGATGTTATCGGCTGCGAGAGCTATTTCCTCCCGTCAGCGCGGCCATGGCTGCCAGACCCAGCCAGGGCTCCGCTCTTCAAAGTCCAGAACTTTTTCCCCCTTCCTTTCTCCCCACCCCCACTCCCATCCCCTTTTTTTTTTTCAAAGAAGAAGGAGGAGGAGGAGGAGAAAGGCCCAGAGCCCACTGAGAGAGCTTCCGTCCCATCAGAGAGGGATGGGGTCGGCCGGGTCCTCCCTCGCTGACCGGCTGTCAGTGTCAGCGGCCTCTGTGCGGCCGGGGCGCAGCGCTGAGTGATGCCCCACACCGGCCGCCCGGCCCACCGCACAGAGGGCCCGCAGCCCCACAGAACAAATAAACAGGTCCGGCTGCCCTCTGCCCCCTTCATCTCCCTCTCCCGAGCGGGGGGCGATGGGGGTGCTGATGTTTACACAGCGCTCAAACTTGCTTTCTCCCCGCTTCCTGGATCTGGGAAAACACATCCTGGATGGCCTGGGCTCCGAGATAAGAGGAGGCCCCGCTGGGGGCCCCTGCCCTGGGCTGCTTCAGGCTGCTGTCCACTGCCTGCCCTCCCCTCCAGGCCGTGCCCTGGGCCGCTTCAGGCTGCCATCCGCGCCCGCCTCTGGGAAGCGGGAGACAAGCTGGCCCGTCTGGAAGGGAGGTGAGAGGCAGGAGGAGTCCCACCGGCTGTGGACAGAGCAGCCTCCCATTCTCTCCTAAAGCCAGGTGGGACCCACTGGACGTAAATGAACCTCTCGGCGGGCTGCGTGTGGGTACCTCTCGGGGAGACGGGGCTCAGCGTCTCTCCATGCCACTCTG